TCTCTCTCTCTCTCTCTCTCTCTCTCTCTCTCTCTCTCTCTCTCTCTCTCTCTTTCTTATTAATTTCATTATTTTGTGTTCATTGGTGTTTTGCCTGCATGTATGTCTGTGTGAGGGTGTCAGATCCCCTGGAACTGGAGTTATAGACAGATGTGAGGTGCCATGAGAGTGCTGGGAATTGAACCCAGGTCCTCTGGAAGAGCAGCCAGTGCTCTTAACTACTAAGCTATCATTCTAGCCCCCTTTTTATTTTTGAGACAGGTTTTCTCTGTGTTACAGCACTGACTGTCCTGGAACTCACTGTGTAGACCAGGATGACCTTGAACTCACTGAAATCCACCTGCCTCTGCCTCCCGAGTATTGGGATTAAAGGTATGAGCCACAGCCTGAAGTGTTTATTTTATAAATTCAAAGATTTTGTGATAATGATAGGTTAATTATTAAGTTTTTAAGATTTATTTGTGCCGGGTGGTGGTGGCGGCGGCGCATGCCTTTAATCCCAGCACTGGAGGCAGAACCAGGTGGATCACTGTGAGTTCGAGGCCAGCCTGGTCTACAGAAGGAGATGCAGGACAGGCACCAAAACTACACAGAGAAACCCTGTCTGGAAATACCAAAAAATAAATAAAAATAAAAAATCGTTTCTTGATGTGTATTTTGTTTATGTGAGTTTATGTGTACCATATGCTGGAGAGACCTAGGAGCATCAGATCCCCTGGAACTGAAATTATAGGTGATTGTGAACTGCCATGTAGGTGCTGGGAACTGAACCCGGGTCCTCTGCAAGAGCAGTAAGCATTCTTAACTGCTGAGCCGTTTCTTTAGCCTCCTCATTAAGTTTTACTTTATTTTATTTATTTATTATTTATTTTGGAGGCAGAGTCTAACTGTGTAGCCCTGGCTGTCCTGGAACTCACTCTGTATACCAGGCTGACCTCGAACTCACAGAGACCTACCTGCCTCTGGATTAAAGATGTGTGCTACTACACCTGACGGCCTTATTAAAGTTTTAAAAGAATTATTGATGGTACCGAGGTATTTTCATTTGTATTTAAAGATTCAGATGTTAAACAAGTAAGGTAGCTCATACTTGACACCCTAGCACTTTGAGGCCGAGGCGAGAGGATTATGAGTTTGAGACCAGTCTGGGCTCCATAATGAGACCTTGTCTCAAAACAAAACAAAAGAATTAAGATTTTGATTGACAGCAGAAACAGGTTGTGAGTTACAGATTTATATAAAAAAATGACAAAAATGAAATATTTTATATTTTTTTAAAATGCAGTGTTAAGGTGCAAACCCAGAACATTGTTTACTTTTTTTTGGCAGTGGGATTCAAGACAGGGTTTCTCTCTGTAGCTTTGGAGCCTGTCCTGGATATCACTCTGTAGCCCAGGTTGGCCTTGAACTCACAGAGATCCTCCTGGTTCTGCCTCCTGAGTGCTGGGATTAAAGGCGTGTGCCACCACCGCCCAGCGAACCCTGTATACTTTACTCAAGCACTCTACTGAGCTGCGTTCCCAGCTCTTGGCGCTTTTCCTTTAAAGTCTCGTGGACATGAGGATAGCATGATAGTTTGTAACCCTTTGCTTTGATCATCTCCTGTAGTGTGGGATCATGCGAAGCAGAGTCTGTATAACTGGCTTTGGTATGAAACGACGACATACAATCCTTACTCTGAAGAGACGTCCTATGAGAACTCCCTTCTGGTTAAACAGTCTGGATCTCTGCCGCTTAGTTCTCTGATTCATGTCCTACGAAGCCTTACCCCCAATGCAAGGTAAGAATAAAAACTACAGATACAGTTATATAAAGACATATATCCATATATACCCATATATACATTATATATGCATAAAGACACATATCCATAGATACACATAAAGATGTATACCCATATATACACATAAAGATGCATGTCCACATATACATTGTATATATACATTAAGACATGTATCCGTATATACACATTATGCATACATAAAGATCTATATCCATATATCCACATTGAGGGCTGGCAATGTAGCTCAGTGATCAAGCTCTTGCCCAGCATGCTAAATCCCCTGAATTCAGCTCCCGGCACTAGTACAAAGATAATAACCTGCACCGTCAAGGACCAGGAGTGAAGGTCGGGAGCACTTGTCCCACGTGTACAAAACCCTCAATTCAGTCCTGGCTCTTCAAAAATAAAACATTTTGTACACCTGAGGATGTACTACTAAGTTTATCAGTGACTCTGCTGTTTGGTAAATACTGTAATCCAAAGCAACCTGGGGGAGAACAGGATTTATTCGGCTTACACTGCCAGGTCCCAGTTCACCATTGAAGGAAGTCAGGGAAGAAGTCAAGGCAGAAACGGTGGCCGGATGTTGCTAGCTGACTCGCTCTCACGCTCATACTTGGGCATCTTACGGCCTAAGGCTGGTGCCGCCCACAGTAGTCTTGGCCCTCCTACATCAGTTATCCACAGGTGCCCTCACAGACAGGCCTGGGCGCCCATGGGGTGTGGTGATCTCCTTGATTAGGAGCCCCTTCTCAGGCAACTGTAGGCTGTGTCAAGTTGATACTTAACGACAGAAACAAAACTACCTACCTGCTGTAAAGGGTTCAGAAGGATAGTGAAAATGGTGACCAGGACTGGATTATACAATAGGCAGAGAGTTCAATAGTAGCCTATGAAACTGACCATGAAGCTAAATAGTTTTTAACAAGTTGTTAGGGGCTGGGAAGATGTCTCAGAGTTTAAGTAAAGCATTCTTGGACTTAGTTCCGAGGATCCATATGGTGACTCACAGCTGTATGTAACCTCAATTCCAGAGGAACCCAACAAGCACATACATGATGCACATACATGTATGCAGGCAACTTTGTTGTTTCTGAACCAAAATGTCTAAGTTGTAATACAGAGAAAACTCAGGGCATTTGGTGTATTTTCTTTTGTGAATGTGAGATGGGTTACTCAGCTAGAGGTTTTTTGTTTGGTTTTTGGTTTGCTTTGTTGCTCTTGAGATAAGGTCTCACTGTGTAGTCGTGACTTCCCTGGAACAAACCCAGAGATTTACTTGCCTATGCTTGCTGAGTCCTGAGACTATAGGCCTGTGCCGCCACACCCAGCACAGGACAGAGGTCTGGAACTGTGCCCAAGCAGCCCTGTCTTAGTCTTCTGAGCACTGAGACTGTCTGTGGAAGTGTCAGCAGACCTCCTCAGGTTTGATTATAGAAAGTGTGTGTACGTGTGTGTGCATGCGTGTGCTTGTGTGCATGTGCTTGTGTGTGCATGTGTTCCTGTGCACACGCTCCTAGATAGGAAAAGTGTTACTTCCTACGAGGCTGTGGTTTTCTTGGAGAAGGAACAAAAGGCAGTGTGGCCTAGCCAGCCACATAGTTGGCATAGTTTTACATTTACTTCTGCAGAGTGGTTCTGTTTAATTTTTGCTTGTTTTGTTTTTGTAGGGGGATTTTCAGGCTCCTTATCAAGTTCCAGCTGGATAACCAGGACAGCCCTTCCTACATCGGTATCTGATGATTTGTGACATTTAATGTGACTCTGTCCCCCTGTGCTCCCTGTTCTAGAGCCCCGTGGCGGCCCTGCATTTCTCACAGCGGAGAAGTGACTGCCCTGTGGTGGGTGGGTCTGTCCAAACCTGTAGGGAATTTCCAGCATCAATCACTGCTCAGTAGATTGCTAATGGGAATTAGAATTCCATGCACTACTGGAACTATGGATGTGTATCTGGCGTGCGCGCGCGCGCACGCACACACACACACACACACACACACACACACACACACACACACACACACACACACACTCCTGGCATGGTGGTCCATACCTTTCATCTCAGCCCTTAAAAAACAGAGGCAGGATGAATGACAGTGGTACACACCTTTAATCCCAGCACTCAGGAGGCAGAGGCAGGCAGATCTGTGTGAGTTCGAGGCCAGCCTGGTCTACAGAGTGAGATCCAGGACAGGTGCAAAAACTACACAGAGAAACCCTGTCTTGAAAAACCAAAAGAAAAGAAAAGAAACGGGCAGGTGGATCTCTGAGTTCCAGGCTGGCCAGAGCTACGTAGCAGGACACTATCCTTTTTATTTATTTATTTTTTTTAAGGCAAACAGAATATCGAATGACTTAGTCTTTCGTCTCCCCAGGGCTTTCTTTTCAAGACTTCTACCAGCAGTGTCGGGAGGCCTTCCTCGTGAACAGTGACCTCACGCTCCGGGCCCAGCTGACTGAATTTCGGGATCACAAACTCATCAGAACCAAGAAGGTGGGACTGCTGCGGTAGCACCGGGGTGGGTTAGTGCGTGTTGTTAATGAGGACAAAGGCGGGGGAGCGGCCGGGGAGGAAGGGAAACAAAACAACAAGAAATGATGTCACAGAAACCAGGGACGAGAGAAGGAATGGTACCCTGTAGTGTCGGACGCTTCTGAGAGACTGGAGACGTCTGGGGCTTCGGACTGACTATGGGACGATGTGGCAGTGAGCCCTTGCTCTGTGGCGCTGCAGATGGACTGCTGGGAGAAAAGAGGAGACATTTATGGACAGCTCTGGAAAGCTGACGTTCAGGGCAGTGCTTAAAGAGGAAGAGCGAGTCCAGGACGTTTCTAATTCTTTTCTGTGTGTGCACCATGTGTGCTCGCCTGGTGCCTGTAGAAACTAGAGGAGGAGGGCACTGGAGCCCCCAGAACTAGAGTTACTGGTGGTTGTGAGCTGCCATGTGGGTGCTGGAATCCAGCCAGATCCTCTGGAAGAACAGTCAGTGTTCTTATTGCTGAGCCATCTTTCCAACCCCAAAAGGTATTTTTAGGTGAGAGCTACTTGGAACACCTTCAAAATCAAGTGAAGGCTGGTGTGGTGGCGCACACCTTTGATCCCAGCGCTAGAGAGGAAGAGGCAGGCGGATCTCTGTGAGTTCCAGGCCAGCCTGGTCTACAGAGTGAGTTCCAGGACAGTCAGGGTTACACAGAGAAACCCCATCTCAAAAAAAAACAAAGTAATAACAATAATTTAAAAGGCCAGGTTTTTTGTTTGTTTAATCTGCAATAGAAAAGTCCAGATAGCTCCCTTACCGAGGTTTAACATATGGGGTATTCTTTTGTCTTGTAGGGAACTGATGGTGTGGAATATTTATTAATTCCCATTGACAGCGGAACATTGGCTGACTTCTTGGAGAAGGAAGAGGAGGAGGCTTAGACTGTCTCCTTTTAGGTGGAAAAGTCATCGTCCCCCAGCTGCTGCTCCTCTAGCAAGAATGCTGGTTTGCATCCAGCATTAGATCATTCTGTCCAGCAGACACGAGTTACTAGTGAAGGGGCGCATCATCGATTTGAACCTTGATTAGCCTGGCTGGTGTGCTGTCTCTAATGCTATGCAGTGGTCATCGAGTTGGGAGGGAAATGTGCCTTTAATTTATTACTTCTCTGGAGACTTATTGCTGGATGAACAGTATGCTCAGGGATTATATGGAAGTGGATATTTTTGGATTATTTTATATGGAATGCTAATCCCTAATTTTCGAGGGCAGTTTAACTCCCCGAGCTGAATTACTACAAGTGCACTTGTTTCAGATCAGTACAAAGAGGGGGTCCCACAGAACTTAGGAGGAAGGAGGTGGGTCGTCCGCTTTTTCTGAAATGATGAAAACATTTCAGAGGTCTCTCCCTGCGGACTTAGGCTGTCTCAACTGAGACAGTGGGAGAAATGCAAGGAATAGATAGGGCGTGTGCCCAGCCTCGGAAGCACATTTAAAATAGTTAGTATTTATACCATGACCTTGATTTTTATGATACAAATGAGAAGTCAGACTAAGAAATCGTGATTTACATGTTAGTAATTGTTTTCAGGACAAGAGAAAATAAAAAGATTTCCTTATTCTTGTACATTGACATTTATTTTCTTACATAGCAGGCAGGAATAGCTGGCCCAGCCCTTTCCTGCCACCATCCAGGAGTCAGAGGCAGGCAGACTGCTTCCCTCCTTTCAGAAGAACAGTAGCAAGACATGAGCTCACATTTGTAATCCGACACAGGAAGACGGAGGCAGGGAAAGAGGAGGTCTAGCCCAGTCTGAGCTACAGTGATGCCCTGCTTCAGCAAACATTCAATAAACACACAGTGACACACAGGACACTGGCTGGCTTGCACTTTCTTCTTGTGGTATGTGGTGTGTGTGTGTGTGTGTGTGTGTGTGTGTGTGTGTGTGTGTGTGTGTGTGTATGTGTGCATGTGTGCAGAACCAGAGTAGGATGTGAAGTGTTTTCTGCCACGTTCTGCCTTCTGCCTTACAGCCTTGAGAGAACGTCTCCTGAACCAGAAGCTCCTTTTAGGCCAGAAGGGCTGCCAACAAGCCGTCAGTCAGTCTGCCTTCCCACCAGTGCTGGCGTTGGGGCACCACAGCCATGCCCAGCCTTGTGCGTGGGTGCTGGGCTTCAAATTCAGGCCTCTGCTCTCAGAGCAAACACTCTTTCCCACTGAGCCATCCCCCAGTTCCATGGACCTTGTGTTCTTGTTTAATATGTCTAGTTTATTATAACGACCACATCATAAACAAACATACAATATACACATCTTTGCATTTGCCTTTAGAGTTTTTTGTTGTTTTGTTTTTCTGTTTTTCGGAACAAAGTTTCTCCATGTAACTGCCCTGGCTGTACTGCAACTCACTTTGTAGACAAGGCTGACCTCGAACTCATCAAGATCTACCTGCCTCTGTCTGCCCAGTGCTGGGATTAAAGGCGTGCGCCACCACCGTCTGGGTTACAGGTTTGGGTTTTTTTGTTTTTTTTTTTAATAGATGTTACTGGTAATACAAGACCAGGGTGTATAGTCATTTTATAGTGCTGGTTGTTTTGAAGTGTTTGAAAACTTTCTGAGTGTATCTTACAGTACCATGGCATATTCCTATACACTCGCCCCCTTCTCAGCAGCACTGTTCCTTAATGTCTAGAGTCACAGTGACTTGAAGCTCTAACTCCTGGCTAATTTGCTTCTGGGCTGGAGGTGTAATTCACCAAGCAAGCTCTTTTGTTCTGGTTTTGATTTTTAGGTTAGCGTGCAAAGGTAATGGGTTCCCTTAGGGCATTTCATATATATACATATATTTCATTGTACTTGGTCCTCATTCCTTCCCATCCCCAATAACCAGGCCTCCCTCTCTCCCTTCTGCTTTATCTCATGTATCCTCATTACTCTCCTTTTCCTTAAAAGTCTCTTTATCTTATCTCTGCTTCTGGTTCTATGACTGCATGCACCCACACACAAACATACATATCCAAGTTCTTCATAAGAGAGGACATGCAGAATGTCTTTCTGAGTCTGGCTTGTAGAATACCTGCAGGAAATGCTGTATAGTAATCACTAGTCATATTTTGAGTGTTTAATACCATCAATTAGCGATAAAATTCCAAGTGACTTTGGAGCTCAGTGGTACAACACTTGGCCTTCCATTCACAATGTTGGAACACAGTTCAAGAATAGAGTTGTACAGCTGGGCGGTGGTGGTGCATGCCTTTAATCCCAGCACTCGGGAGGCAGAGGCAGGAGGATCTCAGTAAGTCCGAGGCCAGCCTGGTCTACAGAGCAAGCCAAGTTCCAGGACAACTAGGGCTGTCTAAAACCCCCCCCCCCAAAAAAAAAAAAAAGTTGTACAAGGGTAATTTTGAATGCTTGTGAGAAAACAAGACATTGTGACCTCAGTTTCTTCAAAACCACAAAATTATTCTTGGAATGTGCTTTCATGCCCCTCCCAGGTGTAGCAGATAGGTTTGCATTCATTTTAGATAATTCATTACAGCTGGCTATGGTTATTTGTTCATTTGCCTCTAGGGAAAACTTGTTTTTGCCGTGTGCCATTTGTCCTTGGGATTGCCCACTTTACTCAGGTGACCTCTTAACCCTCAGTATGAATCGTCTGAGGCTCTGAATAAAGTTGGCTATTGCAGGAGACTTTACTCTGCCTCATTTTTAGGCCCTGTTCTCCCAGGTTCACACTACCAACTTCAGCAGTAAACAGACAAGGTGCTTAGTTTGATCCCCACACTACCAAAAAACAGCAAAATTATAGGAACAAGTAGAAAAGAAGACAGTGATCACCGATGGTTTTTTTTTTTTTTTTTTTTTTAATCCCGATAAAACTTTCTTTCTGATGCCTAACCTAAAAGTATATAGACTGCCAGGCGGTGGTGGTGCACACCTTTAATCCCAGCACTCGGGAGGCAGAGGCAGGGAGATCTCTGAGTTCAAGGCCAGCCTGGTCTACAGAGCGAGTTCCAGGACAGGCACCAAAACTACAGAGAAACCCTGTCTCGAAAAATCAAAAGTACATAGACCCAAAAAAATGCTGCTTAGAAATAAATCTAGGTCCATTTTTTGCTGTTTTTCTTGTCTTTGTGAGTGTGGGTGCCTATGGAGATCAGAGTGTGTTAGATGCCCTACAGCTGAGTTACAGGGGATTGTGAGCTACCATGTTAGTGCCAGGAAGTGAATTCCATCCCACTGCAAGAGCAGCGTGTGTGTGTGTGTGTGTGTGTGTGTGTGTGTGTGTGTGTGTGTGTGTGTGTGTGTGTAAGTGTAACTGCTGAGCCATCTCTCTGGCTGCTTTTCTTTTGTAGACAGGGTTCCAGGCAGGCCTGGAACTCCAAAGCTTCCTCCCTTTGCCTGCCAGACACTGGGGTTGCAGCTGCACTACCACACTCGGCTCCAAATCTGTCTCTAAGTGACAGAGATCATTGAGACGGAAACACCTCATCCACACAGAACCGCTTCTCAAGAATGGTACGTGCATGCCTTTAATCCTGCATTTGGTGAGCATGCACCTCAGCTCAAGGGGACCTAAAGGCCAGCCTCGGCTAAATAGGAGTTGGAGGCTATCCTGGGTTACAGGAGATTCTGTCACAAACAAGCAACCAAACAAAAAATGCCTTGTTACATACAGGTTTTAGTCATCTTTTCCAAGGGTTTATAGTGAATATCTGTCTTTATTGTACTCTTTACATATGGTCTTTACCTTGTGAGCCGTAACATTAGCGAGCCAGACAGAAGAACTGAAAACGATGTCGATCGAGCCGTTCTGCAGGATGTCAGCACCACCAGTTCTTCCTGCACAGTCCCATTTCCATCCAAATGATGTGTGGCTTGTGTCACCATGACATCTTGTGTGTTTTAAACCACACGAAGAGGGTCCCTGTCTGTCTCAGACAGGATAATATTAATCTTATTCTCCAAGTGGACACCCAGCATTTCCTGGAGATCGGAGAGGAAGCCTCGTTCGGTGTTGCTGTGTTCACAAAGAATGACATTTATCCCTTTGGACGCAGCATCCAGAACATCATGGTGGGACATTTCACCTGCCCAGGAGGAAAGAGCAATGTCTTAAATCTTAGACATGGAATGTGTGCATTCTGGACCACCGCAGCAGGGAGCCTGCGTCTGTATGAATGAATGCAACGGCCCACAAGGTCCTGCGTTTGCTGCCCAGGAAAAGGAAGTTCAAACTACATATCACTTTATGGTGCTGCGTCACGTCTATGTTCAGGAGCAAGAATACGGGGATGGCACTGAAGAAGACCAAGATGTGCGTGTGTGTGTGTGTGTGTCCTGATGCATTATCGGGGGTGGGAAATCAACTTTAGAAGTCAGTTCTCTCCTCCCCTTGTGGTGCCTGGAACTGAAGTCCAGTCATCAGACTTGCAGAGCAAGTTTGTTTACCCTGAGCCCAAAGCATGAATTTCATTTTATGTTTCCTCTATACTTTATTCTCATGCCCTGAAGATAGTATGTATAGCATTTTGAATGTGCCAGTATTTTTATAATAACCTGTCTCGTGAGTCTAGGTGTGGAATTTTCCTCTTATGCTTGTGTTAAAATAGTTTTGTAGCACTTTGGACATAAATACTTTTGATGCAGAATGCTGCCATGGATAACCGTAATCCTAGAACTTGGGAAGCTGAGGAAGAGGATCAAGCATGCCGGCCAGCCTCAGCTAAATAGCTGGAGGCAATCCTAGGTTATAGGAGACCCTGTCAACAAATGCCTTGTTAGTTATTGTGGCTGGGCAGCAGTGGTGTACGGTGTGTGCCTTTAATCTAATCCCAGCACTCCGGAGGCAGAGGCAGGAGGAGCTCTGAGTTTGAGACCAGCCTGGTCTACAGAGTGAGTTCTAGGACATCCAGAGCTACACAGGGAAACCCTGTCTTGAACAACCAAAAAGAAAGAAAGAAAGAAAGTTACTGTGAAAAGATAAAGGGAAAACTCACATATGTTGTAAATTTTTAAAAATATTTATAAATTTGATGACTGAATTTGAGAACAAAAACATTGTGGGGGAGGAGAGATTAAAAATAATGAATATGAACAAAACTCTGGAAATAATAAAGTGTGTGCCTGTGTGTTATATACAATTTGGTTTATAGAAAGTTAAGCTTTAATCAGGGTTTACAGACATAAAGCCATTAAAATTTTTTTAAATGTTTGTTGTTTTGTTTTGTTTGAGACAGGGTTTCTCTGTGTAGCCCTGGCTGTACTGGAACTCACAGAGATCCTCCTGCTTTTGCCTCCCAAGTTATGGGATTTAAGGCGTGGGCCATCAGATCCCAGCTAAATTTTTTAAATGTAAAAATAAGAAAAGTGTGTTCTTACTGGGAAAGTGAGCTGGCTGCTTTCAACTCTACACAATAGTATCAGTTCACTGTTAGGAATAGTTTGTATGCGAGCACCCTTTAAAATACCTTAACATTTTGGAATTGCTTGAACTTATACACATATTACTTTATAATTCTTAAGAACTAGACTGTTTTTAACTGTATGCATATGTATGCTTGCAAGTACATGCCATGTATGTATGGGTGGTGGAGGGCAGAAGAGGTGTGAGCAATTTTAATGAAACTCACTGGCTCATAAGGAGAGAAAAGAGGAAGCAGTTGTGAAGGGAGAGGAGAGACCAGCAGACTGGACGGACAAGTGTGTGTTCAAAGTCCACGTGCATGAACCCGTCACAATGAGACCTGTCATGTATTTAAAAAGTACTTAAAAAGACAGTGCCAGATAATAGAACGCTGCCTGTCCCTGCGTGTGCACTTAGAGACTTCACACGTGACCAGGTGAAGGACGCTGCCTGTCCCTGCGTGTGCTTAGGGATTTCACACTTGACCAGGTGAAGGACGCTGCCTATCCCTGTGTGTGCACTTAGGGTTTCACACGTGACCAGGTGAAGGATGCTGCCTGTCCCTGCGTGTGCACTTAGGGATTTCACACGTGACCAGGTGAAGGACACTGCCTGTCCCTGCGTGTGTGCTTAGGGATTTCACACGTGATTCCTTCACTGTCATCAAGGTCATGTAGTTCCTCACCTGAAGTTCAGGACTTCTCTCCAAGGCAGCCGGACACTCACCCCAGCTGTTTGTTGCCTCCCCACAATTCTTTAACTAAGCTCCTTTATCTGCTCGGTTTAAGGATCTAGTCAGGAAAATCCAAAGCCTTCCATGTGTGTGTAAAGGGTTTGGGTCTAAAGTGCAGACAGGCGGACACTTTACCCTCCATGGTTCCTTGTCTAATCTCAGAACGAGGACATGCCCTTCTGTGAAGGTGGGAAATTAGTACATTTATTAATTTCTCTCCACCTCATGTGGTTAGACGGTCTTTATTGAACAGGGAGCTCAGGAACTCACCTAGACTGCTGACAGTAAACCCTACGGGTCCTCTGTCTCCTCGCCAGCACCGGGGTGGGCTCTGGACCACACTCAGGTCCTCCTGCTTGCACGGCCGGTGCTTCACTAACGGGGCATCTCCCTAGATCTCAAAGAATTCTTAGGATACAGAGGAACCAGAGCTGGGCTAGACTCACTGAGGCAGGAAGATTGAGGCTGGTCTGGCCTTACTGCGAGACTTAGTTTCAAAAATCAAAAAAACAGAAGAGCATGGTTGTAGTGGACATGGTGGCGCATGCCTTTGATCCCAGCACTTGAGGCAAAGGCAGGTGATCTCTGTGAGTTCGAGGCCAGCCACTACTACTCACTACATAGTGAGATCCTGCCTCAAATAAATAAATAAACAAACAAACAAACAAATAAATGGACAAAGGAGAGTTAGGAGGAAGGAGGATGGTGCCAGAACAATCTTGGGGTGTTGTTTCCGTTTTGTTTTTTGAGCTCATCACTGAAAGTACAGAAGGGGGCAGGAAAAAGGCACTGTCCGCAGAGGAAGCCCTAAGCCCGGGGCTGCAGGAGAGGATGCTCACTTAGGTTTCACCTGGACACGTGAGTCAATGGCTAGTCCGTCGTATTTACATCTGGAAAACAAATTCTGGACGGGGCATGCGCACAAGTCTGTCATCTCTGCCACTGTTCAAGGCCAGCCTGGTTTGCATCGAGTTCTAGGCTTGGCAGGGTACATACACCACACCAAGCCAAAGGGAGCCCGGTATGGTAGTGCACATCCTCAATCCCAGCGAACAGGAGGGCGAAGTGGAGGGTCTCTGAGTTCAGGGTCAACTAGCTTGGTCTACCTGGTGAGTTCCAGGCCAGCCAGGACTAGCCAGTGAGACCCTGCCCGGTGGGTGAGATGACTAAGGGTACTTGCCCTCAAGCTGAGAAATCAAGGTCAATCCCAGGAACTCCCATGGTGAGGACCAACTCCCACAGTGGTCTTCTGAGTTCTCTATGTGTGTGCTGTGGTACACACACACAATAAAAGTAAAATCCCAAATAAAAACTAATCTGGGGGACCATTAGAGGCACAATGCAGTAAGTACTTCAGGGAAGGTTCTAGAAAGATTTCAGAGCTTGGCTTAACAGAACTGATTACTAGCTTTGGGGCCCAAAGGAACCTCTTTCCAGCCCAGATAACAAGACAGAAAAGCCTTCCACTACTGACATGGAATCCGAGGAGGAAAGTGGTTACATAAAGACCAACGGAAATCAATTTAGGGGGCAAACTAACAGACTTTCAAGTCATTTCTCCCCTCCACAGACAACACGGTATGCCTTCATTTGATATAGCTCCTGTTTAGTTCAAGTTCAAAACATTTACTAGGGGTTGGTGGTATAGCTTGCAGTACAGTGTTCGCCAGCATGCAGGAGGCCCCGGGTTCAAAGCCCTGCACCTCGAAAACAAACAGAAATGAAAGGGGAAAAGTACGTCACCTGTGCCACGCCCGGTCCTGAAATCTGCGAGTTTTGAATATTTAAGAGGTAAAGCAAGGTTGAGGAAGAGATCCAGAAAGGTTCCTACCTGTGAGGTAAAGGTCAGCCTCCACTCCTTGTAGAACACGGCTCCCAGATCCAGCACACAGGGCCACAACTCTGACTGGAGACTCTTCAAGACAAAGACAAGAGGTGTTACTATAGACAGAACCCTTCAGTTTAACACCGCCGTTTGTACTACCAATCCTAACCCTAACGCAGACTGGCTAATCTCTTCCCCAGTGCATGAATTATGCTGTCACAGGACAGTCAGGGGCTACACTGTGAAACCTTGTCTCAAAAAAATAAAACAATAGCCAGGTGGTGGTGGCGCACACCTTTAATCCCAGCACTCGGGAGGCAGAGGCAGGTGGATCTGTGTGAGTTCGAGGCCAGCCTGGTCTACAGAGTGAGTTCCAGGACAGCTAGGACTGTTTCACAAAGAAACTCTGTCTTGAAAAACCTAGATAGATAGATAGATAGATAGATAGATAGATAGATAGATAGATAGATAGATAGATAGATAGATAGAAAGACAATGATAGATAGATAG